TCTTGTCATAATAAAAGTATGATGAAATGAGAATGAAATGATGTTACTGTTTAGTGGAGAGGAGGATTAGTATGCCTTGAATCTATTGAAAGTACTTGCGATACCCTATTATACTGACCTGCATGATGCACTTCATTCTCTACCTTTTTTTCAGTCACCATCGAATCTTTAAGTCTTGAATTTATGGTATGCTCTGGGCAGTTATGCAAAAAAACCTGAATACAAAACTGAGAACCTGTTTGTAAATGTTTTTTGTTTGTGCTGTTTAAAATGCGTTATAAAAGACACCTGTTGTTCCTAAAAGCATCTAAAGGCTGGTTCAGTTTTCAGCAGATGGATGGATGAGCTTGCTTCTGAGATACCAGTCTGTCACTTCCACTGAAGTTGATGGAACTCTGCATTCTCAGGACTTTTTAGGATTGTTTTAAGGAAATGATAGATTTTTATGATGTTTTTTGTTCCAATATTTTGTCTGCAAGAAAACCCTAACCAGTTAGCAGTATTTGTTTCAATGTCTGTTATGCTATGAAAGGATATGTTAAGAGCTTGCACACAGATATTTTGATACTTTAACTAATTTATTTAATAAAATATGCAAAAACAGGGAAAGAAGTGTATGCATTTCCTGGACACGTCAGGTTCACCGAAACTCATGCTTGACTGTCTTTGAAGTGGAGTGGCTTGAAGGCTGTAAAGTGGACGGACTTTTAAAGAGTTTCAGTTAAACTATCCATTAACTATCCACTTCACATTCAGGAAGGGTGTATGATGCATATTGTGCATGACTTTGAAAGCCAGTCTACTTGAGATCTGGGTCAAACTGACTAGAAATTGGAAGATGAGTACTCTGGGTAGGGAAATGTTAGTATAAGACCCAGACACTTGCTTTAGACTCACAGGATTTGTATTTTGTGGTAGGCTAATTCAAAGTGTAAAAAAGATGTGTAAAACTATAGTGACATTAACAAGTACCATAATTTTAAATGAGGACAGATTTTCTTAGTTTTATTCTTTTTTTTTTTTTTTTTTAAAATTCATGTCTGAACCTCTTGCGTGAGAGCTGGGCCAAATACCTGTACATTCCTGACATAAATAGCAAATCAAATCTTCTCAAATTAGAACAAATAAAATTCAAATGCTTGAGAATTAATATGTGCTGTCTTTACTAATATGGAAATAGTTCTTTGTTACTGATTTATAACTATAAAACAACATGGAAATTGCTTGCAAAGAATAAGATATTTGCTGTTGTAACTGAATAGACGTAGACTAGCTGGATGATTGTTCTTCACTTACACCACACAGTCATCAGGAGCAAAAGCTCCTTTAGATACAGTAGTACCTTATTGTATTATTGGCCGTACTGTGCCCTAATGTTGAAGTTTCTGAACTAGTAAATGTAGTCTGTAGCTCTCTCTTGAGTACCTAAATTCCCCATTCAGTTCATTGCAAGGCTGCTAGGAGTGGAATTCAGCAAAGGCTTTGTGCTGAGTAGCGAGGACACTTGCGATAACCGGAAGGAAATACCACAGAATGAGCCATACGTCTTAAATTGTGCCCCCCTTTGGCCTGTACATTAAACCAAAATTCACAGCTCTGTTCTTCTGTTTTTACATGCCAGATACTGTGTTTACACCATGAATGAGGATACTCATGAGCCAATTTTGGAAGCAGAAGCATGTGTGGTGAGGTCTGTGTAAGCCAGCTTGGATTTGGCAGCTGTGTCGGCATATGCCAGCTGGAGAAAGTCACCAGAAGTAGTGCAGATGCAAGGTTTCCTGTGTTCGGGCCTCAGCTCTCTTGTCCCGTATGAAAACAATGCTGGGCATACACAGACCAATATTTTCCTTTGCTCGATCCCAGTTTCACCCAGTTTGAAAGTGGCTGTAGGAACTAATGTAGTTCTTGTGTCACCAAGGTGGGTTGTTGGGTCACATCATCCGTTTGAGGGAGCTCGTGTGTATGTGCTGAGACAGAGAAAGGTCCTGCAGAAAGGTGAGCCAGTACTGAGCAAAACAACCAACCAGTTTCTGTATTGTGTCTCGGGATTTTAAGGTTTCAACTCACTGCTACACCTTGGCAGGTATGCTCTAGCTCATAGATTCATGGCTCTTGGACCCCAGCTGCTCATCATATGAAGGTTTTCTGTGCAGTAGAAACTTTCTGGCTTTAGTAAGTACTAGAGCTTTGCATTCTGCTTTTAGAGCATAGAGCAGTCATGGACTGAGTTGTCCTTTTTTGAAATAAAAGCTGATTTTTAATGAAGTGACTGCTAGTTATCCTGTTACTGCATACACAGTTAGAATTTCTCTCCCTCTCATGATCAGAAGTCAGCCATAAATCTTACTCTTTGACTGAAAACATGAAGTTTGAGTGGACTTCCTGCAGAAGGCATCTTATTGTGCCCAACTTGTGCTTTCTTAATGAAATGGAGGGAAGATAGGTGAGAAACTCTCAGCTTACCACACTGGACTTCGTTCTGGGGCAATATAAAGCAAAACTATAGTTGTTTGAAAAATGCCATTTGTTAAATTTTAGGTGCCATGAAGCTTTCAATTACTTGAAGTTGGTTGGAAGTTTTAAAAAATGACGTGTTTGGATTTATTAGAAATTAGATCTTCCTGAATCTTCTGGAAGAGCTAGGCCTCAGCAGAGCAGGAGATGTGGTTCAGTATTGTCACAAAGACACAAATGCAGACATTCATGAATTTTTATTGTGCAATAGACCAGATGTCAAGAAAACAATGTGTTTCAGAGCTCTTTTAAGAACCTAATTTTGAGTGTTTCAATTTTATTTAGAATTGCAATTTGTTTTTTTGTTTCTCAGAGTGCGTGTTTCACTTGTGAGTTTTGGTTACGCAAGTCACATTGTATTCTCTTGGCCTGTTTTATGCTTAAAATGTAACACGACATGATTGTTAAAAACTGCAATAAAATATTGGATCAACCTAAGAAATCCTCTTTTGCTAACTGGTTTTCTGGAATGGTAACTGTTTTAGAAAAAAAAATTCAAATAGACTTAACTAATTACAGAAAAGCTGTGGCTAGCATGCTGCTCTGTCTCTTTTCCCATGACCTTCTAATTTTATAATTTTTCGTGTGTGTGTGTGACCAATTAAAACGTGACGGCAGAGCAAAATAACATAGTCCAAATGCCCAGCAGCTGGGATATAGATGTAATAATCCATGTCCTGGAATCACAGGAAATAGAGAAGGGGACAAGTTGCAGATAATTTAGTCTTTCTACTTCTGCTTATGCGCAGCTTTTCCTCAAAATACATCTGTTAAATTTACTCCTCATTTAATACATTGACATGTTACTAAAATTATAGTGGTGTTTAGTTTTATCAGTTTGCTTTTTCTGTTATAGAAGTAAAATTGATCCTGCCTAGGACAGAAAGATGGACTACATTACCTCTCGAGATCCTTTACAGACAGTTCTGTGATTTCATGGTACAGAAAGATCAGTGAGAACTATGTTTTAACTTTGGATGATAGTGTTTAGCTTCATGTAGTGTTTTATATGTATTTCCCATGTATTAGAAAGAAAAAGTGCCTTTCAGATTTGGGGAAGTGTTTCAGATGTTTCTCTTGTCATATAAATATTTTGAATATTTTTCTCTGCCTTCTTCCTGGCCTGGTAGCTCAGGCATATCAGAACTCTTTGGGCATGAGAAATTGGTTCACATCTCTATCCTCATTCTGGAAAAGAATGAACTAAGAAGCCATATTTTAGAGCTCATAAAGTGTTTAACATGCCGACTGCATTCCTCTTTGTTTTATTGTTCAGTAGTGTGAAAGGGGGAAGGAAGACAACTAGTTCTTTCTCTTCTGAGAGGAAAAAAAACTTTGGGCTCACTTTTGGTGTCTCGTTCTACCACTGTATGCTTATCTGAGGTCAGAAATCCTGTAAGAATGGACAGGACTCATGTATGAGGGCAGGATTTGCCAACAGAAGATAAATGAAATCAACAATAACAGTGCTCTTATTTTATGTGATAAGAGACCTATTTTGTGTGTTAAAGCTCACTAGACCTCAGAAGTTCTTCTGTGGCTGCAGTGAAAAGTGTCAGAATTCACCACTGGGAGTGGTTTTCTAGGTATACTGATTTGAGATGTTGGATAATTCCAAATCTTCTGGAATAGCATCAATTATTCTTTTTTATTATTCTTAAAAATAGATAATAAAGAGTATGGTGTAAGGACAGCATTCTCAGTGGTTAGCATTGTTAGAGAGCATGCTTTTTGCCCTGTGACTTGACAAGGAATGTTCTGCCCTACCACTGCATCCTTTTCTTTATTGTTGTATTGATGACTCTTGTCCCAGTTGCCTTTCGCTTTATATAAAGTTCATGTGGCATTTGGTAAGTGACTGATGAAGTGTGTATAATTTTCTGGTATCAAAATAACTGGATAAGTGCTGCTAGATATCGAATACTTTCTGATGTATATAATCTGTTCCCAGCGATTTTACTGGTAAGTGTGGTTGCTCAGTATATCACAGGGTGAATTCAACATGGAGGAACAAGCTCAATTTTCTGAAACTTTTCTTGTTGCTTTTTTCTGAGCAGTTTAGTGAAATTAAAATCTGTGAAAGCAATGGGTATTGTGGATTGTGAAGGCATCTCAAGTGAGTCTCCCACTGTTTGATACCTGAATAGACCTAGAACTGTCTTCACAGAAACTACCTAATATGTGTGTAGAAGAAAGTCTGAAAAACAAACATCTTGGATCTGTACATGTATTTGCAGTAGATGTTTATGAAGGACTGGTGTGTGTGGTTTTTTTTGTAAATTGACCCTACTTATATAGTCTTCCATTGCTATATTCATGTTAAAAATCTCATATGGACTAAGTAGCGTGACTTACGTGTTATGAGACATATAGAAGCTAAATAAGTAGAAAATGTATTTTAAAGCTCTTACTTTTTTGGACTGCAACTATCTGATATACATTAATGTTAACAACATTTAGGCCTCTCTTTGTGTTTTCTTCCACAGGCAGCAGGAGCAATTCGTCCTCTAGTTTCTACTGTTATTGCCTCTGCTGCAGATGGCTGTTTAGACCACTCATTGGAACGTGCCAGATACAGAGCGAGTGAAATGCCTCAGGCTTTCTTGTTTGATATAATCTATGAAGCATACCAACAGGTAAGACTTTTGAGACTAAGACTTTTTTCAATTTACTTTAGATTAAAAAAAAAGGATAATTTATTTATCTTCTTTCAGAAACAGTTTCAGCATCTATTTATGATCGCATCAAACTGTATGCATATTACTTCTGTGTAGTCTTTTGATGAAAATACTTTATCGTTCTAATCTATTCGAGTTTTTTGATGATCAAACTGCCAAGTACAAGAAAGGGTGAGGGGTCTAAACTATTGGAAAGACAAATTTGATTTTTTTGTTATTGTGCATGAAATAGATTACTTAAATGAGTGGGTTAATGTGTTTAAAGTTAGGTATGTATTAAGTATGTATTGTTGACCTAGAGTTACAAAGAGTTTTGGATGCATAGTGTAGTAATGACATAATATGATGGGATACAGGCTTTATTAAAATATTAGGGTAATATCAAGTTGATACACCTAGATAAATAAATGTTAAATTTGTTCCATGTTGTGTATGTATTGTACCTACTTTGATTAGTGGCTGAAAATAATAATTATTTGGTCTCTGTTGTAGTTCTCCGTTATTTTCTTAATATATTTACTTTAGCATTATCTTTATTTTAAGAAAATAAAAATTGTGGGTAGTGTATTAAACCCTGGCTCTTTTGCCTTTATCCCTCTTGAAGACTGCTTTTGTTTGCCCCACCCTGCATTCACAGTTTACTGGAAACACTCCAGGCTTTCGTCTCAGCATTCTACTTCCTTTTCTTTCTTCACCTTGTGGAAATTGCCTGTCCTCCAGGTATCTTCCAGACTGACTGGAAGCAGAGCATTTCTTCATTTATCACTTGGAAGAAATTACTTTTCAGTCCAGTAATGCTGACAGTCATGCTTCCCATCTTTCATTTCTAGAGTAACCAAGCCCAAATGACTGATATCCACCTTCAGAGAGTACATATCTTAGAAGTCAGCAGCAACAGAACAAATGTATTGACAGGCAATGAAGAAGAAACAGTTTCTTAATTATGCAGTAATTGTTTTACTTAGAAATGTTGGCACAAATTCTGTGTCATACCCTTTATGCTTGATACTTGAAGCTATTCTTAGATGCTGAAGAGGAAGGTTGTCCAAGATGAAGAGCTACTCAAGTGATTGGACTAGCTCCAACCTTTTTACTTCTGATGGGAAGCAGGGGGTTGTTCTTGGTGCATATGATAGCGCACAACTGATACTTCTAAGTGAGATACTAGCTTGAATGTAGTGGACATACTCATGATAAAGGCAGCATATATGTGCACAGAACACATCTCAAGAGAAAACAGGTACCGTTGGTTATACAACTGTTTGTTTCTTGTTGGTGTGTATCTCTCTTGGCAAATTGCATGTTTATGTGTTGTTTCTCAAAAATAAACCAAAACCTAAAACAAATCCTTATTTTTTCCTACTGTGTTTGCTCTTAGTTTGCAGGTACATTAGAGCTGGCAAATACATAAAAAGCTTTTGCCATAAATGCTTTGCTCAAAAGGCAACTATATTTGCAGTCCCTGTGCTTCTCTGAATAGTGTTCTCTTCTCACATGTGCATTCCATCAGTCGTCTTTTTTGTATCCCTGCTCTTTCAAGAACAAGCCACCAAAGTTGTTAGCAAGCAACCAAGGCTGTGGTTCCTTGTCCTCAGTTCCCTTTGCATTGGCTAAATTCTGGTCATTTAAACGCTCTGTGCCTTGGGGCTCTGGGAAGGATAACACTTCGCTAAACCTCTCAACTCATATTGTTTGCTAATTATTTATGTTTCAATGGTGTGTAGCTGTCCAAGTCAAGGATTAAGACCCTATTGTTTTGGGAACTGTACAAACAAATAAAAAAAAGATAGATAATCGTTGTCCTGAAAAACTTAGTCAAGCTACTGTAGGGCAGATTTTTGTAGGAATGGATGCAGCTTGTGATGCTTCCTAAATATTAACGTACCCATAATGAGTTCCTACAACAACCTGGTGAAGTAGGTCAGTATCATTGTAAAGATGAACAAAAAGATAAAATAATTTTGTTACTCATGTTGCAAGTCATTCACAAAGCTGGGAGTGGAATTCATTTTGGCTGACTTGGCATGGGATCATGATCCCACTCCTGTGTATTTTATGCGGTTGTGACCTTTATGCAACAACAGTGTGGGGAAAAACAAGTCAAACATGCATTCCTTAGAAAGAAACTGTCCTTTTGAATTATTGCTTCAAATAACAGGCTTTTCAGTTATGTTGTGGGTAATGTGGAATACTGCTTTTAAACTCCCATCTCTATTTAAACGCATCATCTGATATGAGTAAGTTAATTTAGAGAGTTTACTTCCAGATGTGTTCTTTTTCATGAATGTAAGATCTCTGAGTATCTTGACCATTAAGTTGCGACATTCAATTAAAGGTCAGTTCTCTGATCCTTGCAGGTTTGCCATCTGTAGTCTTTTTTGCTCTTCTTGTCTGGTACCAATCTGGGCAGAGCAGACTAGTGTTCCTTCTCCTTTTATTACTGTTTTGAATGTATTTAGAACTAGAAAGGAATAAGCTATTACCACTATTAAAATACGTAAAAATACTTTTGTATGATCTTTATCGTATTGAAAGTAATTTCCTTAGAAAACTTTTTCCATTTCTTGCTTGATTAAAATATGGTAGTAATGATTTGGGGAAAAATACGTGCCTTGTACATAAAATTAATTGAAGTAGATACAACAAATGCCAAAGATAAGTTTATAATATTATCTTAAAATATATTTAAACTACAGTGAATTTTCTTTACACTTAGTGCAAAAAATCCAGCACAGATTTGGAGGACATTGAGCCAGATTATTCGCATACATTTCATTGTGATGTGTCTCATTGTTGTGTGCTGGATCTCAATTTCATTTTCACCCTTAACTCTTCTCTGTTGCCTCAAACATACATATTCCAAACAGATCATCTTTGTTTAGATATGTGTTGCTTTCTGATTTAACTGTGACAATGTCAAGATTTCTGACATCATAACTATTAACGTCTCAGCTTCATAGTAGTGCTGTTAAAACTTTTTAAATTTTGTTGCTCAAAAATTGCATGCACTCCATTGTCTCTGTAATGACTTTGACAGCTCATTAAAACAAACATTCTTCATCACTCGCATGTCTGATGTTTAAGACCCCTTTAGCAGGGATTTTCAAAGGTTAAAAACCAGTACTTTAGTTTTTTTTAATGTGACTTTTCTGGCTGTGGGTTTTCCTTATTACAACCACTTTATCAAAAAAAGAAAAAAATGTTGGACTGGAAGTGACATCAAATTACAGTCTGTTTGGTCAGTTACCCAGAACTGGGGTTAAGTATTCCATCCATTACCTCTGAAGTATGCTATGAAATAATTTCCATTGTATTTCTAACTTTTGCTCATGTTGTGTGAGAGAAATAGGTTCTGTGAGAAGGTATGCATTATATGGTTTTCAAAAGAGTTTCTTGTTACCACTAGCCACATCTCCTTTTGCTAGGTCTATTAACTTGAAATCTTCTGTTCTTTGGGACAGTCCTTCTCTAACTATTCCATAATGTTTCTTGATCCTAATGAGGAAGTTATTTCATCTTTCCACTCTGCTATTGCAAGATAGCCAAAGTACCTGCAAAATAGGGTTGGTTGGTTTGTTTTTAATTCCCAGAGAAGTAAGTAATTCTGAAATGGGAAGCGTAATCCAAAAGATGTTGGTGAGGTACTAGATACTGCTAGGTCTTCTGATGGTTAATTCTGAATAATTTTTTTAACCATACTCAAACAATAGTATAGATTTATGAAAATATTTCCTTAAAAATAATCTCAGACTTCTTCAGTTAGTGTCAGTTTTAAGATCAATTAGCAGTGGAAGCAGCTTTTTTTGATATGTCTGTGTATATGCTTGAGAGGGGAAAAAAAAGACACTCAGATGTCACCTATTTTTACTTTTTTATTGGGGGAATGCAAGCAGTTTGAGAACCATTGTTGTTTCTCGGTGAAAGAAGAATTAGGAGTACTTTGTCTGTCTTTTTGTGATGCAGCAGGTAAGCAGAGGTGCAAGAGGGAAGGGAAAAATTTCAGTATTCTCCTACCTCAAATGATAATTGCTCCAATGCAGCAGGATCAGAAGACCACTGTTGAGGAAATAGCTACTCCTTCCGCTCTAGAATAGCAATAATGGTTTTAACATTTTTTTACAATTTCTGTTACATTGTCATACATCTTACTTTTAAGTCAGGATACCTCTTGGCCCCTGTATTGGACATCACATAAGCCAGACCAGAAACATTTAAAGTCAATATTGAAATTAAGCAACTGTTCAGATCCCACAACAGCCAGTGGAGCTAAAATGGTGTCTTGATCTTAAAAGGCCTCACTACTCTGACTTAGCTGTCATTAGATAGAGCACTTAGCTATAATAAATGAATAGGCATAATATGATTTTGCAGATATAGGCACCTACCCCTGCATGTTACACTGCTTAACACTTTTTGTTGCAAGTCTCTGCGTTCAGTTGGTTATATGAAGTATGGGAAAACAGCTGTTTACTTCTATTTCAGTGAAGTATTCTGATACCTCTACTTTGTACTAGGACTTTGGAATTTGGCGTTGGGATGGTCCTGAGGTGAGAAAAGAATTAATTATACAAGCCTCCTTACATATGCCTGTGAGTGTTACTGTGTCACTCATATGCCTCCTCCCCTCATATTCTTACGAAGTATGGCACTGCTTTCATGCTCTTCAATTTGTTAAATTTATGAAATTTCTAAAAGTTATAGTTTTTATTTGTATGATGCATGCTTGACACAAGGTGGACAAGTGATAGATGCAAACAACTGCAAGGGGAGAAAGAACTGTGTAATGTGTGTAGTATCTTGCAGGCATGAGACTTTGCCTTAGCCAGGAATTTTCCTTGGGATGTTGATTAAAAGGCCATATAAATGCGTTAAAGGGGGAAACTTAATGTTGCATCAGTGCTCTTAGTTCTGGTATGTCCTAATTTGTGAGTTCTTGTTTCCTATACAATGTAATGAAC